ATCTCTGCGCCGGGAGTGTTGGATGAACGGATGATCCGACACTCTCGGCGCAGAGAATGGGGGGCCCGCTGGCCGCTGGGTACCGATCCGGTGCTGGGAATGTGCTGGGCCCCCCCTGGCCGAGGCCCTGGTGCGCCCGCACAGCCTGCACCGGTGGTAGTTCCGCCACTGGAAATGACTATGTGTGGCTTCAAATAAGAATACATAACAGTAATATGCAATTTTCCATTGTTACCTAAAAAAAAAAAATTATTATATCGCCGCTGCTCCTTTCATAGATGTGATCTAATCAGAATCTTGAATGAAAACAAGCGGTGGCTCCACACTGTACCTTTAGCTCTGCTTGTCAGGAGCAGGGCTAAATGTACAAAAATACAACTCACCCGGAGCCTGAAACTGCATGTCCCGGGCATCGGGCGATAGGGATTCCACACCACTGGGTACACTGTCAGCCCCGCCGCCTCAGCTCTCACACATTCACTCCATAAGACGCACAGACATTTTTGCCCGCCTTTTGGGGGGAAAAAGTGCGTCTTATGGAGCGAAAAATTTGGTATATTTCTTACCCTTTGAATATTTTGTTTCAGCAGGCAACATGGCTGGTGCCAAGTTTTTCTCAGCATCTTCACAGTGATCTGTCCTTATAGAAAGACTTTGGACTGTAATGTGAGGATTGTGTTTCCCTCATTAACTTCATTAAAGGAGAACTATGGGGTTAGGGCTTTTCCCCATAGTTCTCCTTAGGGTAACGGGAGGACACAAACTAGCGTCCTCCCGTCACCCTAGGCTCAGTATACTGAGACGCCGCAGTATACCGCGAGCTGCTGCTCGTGGTATACTGAGAAGCCGCAGCTGAAGCGGATCCCGGCAATTGTGTCGGGATCCGGCCAGCTGCGTGACTGATAGCTGGCTCTGCCTATCTAGAGGCAGAGCCAGCTGTACCCGCCCCCTCCCCCGTCCAATCCGCCAGTCAGCGCTGGCGGATCGGAGCGGGGGGAATCCAGCCCCTCCCCTGTTATGGCAGAGAGCCGTGACAGGATCGACTGGTGAGCGAACGCCGTTATGTGTTCACTCACCTCCCGATCTACTGAGCCGACCTGTTACAGTCTCATTGTCACAGGTCGGCTAGAACTATGAGGTGAGTGAAAAGCACTCACCTCATAGTTCTCCTTTAAAATTTGAATGCAATCCTTTAACTCCCTCACAGCCCCTTCTGAGAAGAAGGAGAAGCAAGTAGAAATGTTAACCCCTAAAAAAAGAAACCCTTAGGTCCCATTCACACTGAGCGACATGAAAATCGCGCGATTTTGAGCGATATTGCGCGACGAGCGATATTGAGCGACGTGTCGCACAACTTTTTCCTATTGGGCTGTATGCAATCAGGAGCAATATCGCTCGAAAGCGCTCAAAAAAAGGGTCATGTAGGAGCGACAAGCTACCAGCGACGAGCTACAAGCGATATTGAGCGATATTGAGAGGCGAGATGTGAACAGCTCCATTGAAATGGATTGGAGAAGCTACATAGAGCGATATCGCGTGGAAATATGAGCGATATCGCTGCAAAAATCGCTCTATAAATCGCTCAGTGTGAATGGGGCCTTACCCAAGCAAAATAAATTTTAACTGCAAGAAGTATTTTTTTTGTTATGTTTATGCTATATGAATGGGAACATGTCACAAATATAAAATAGATGTTATCCCAAATTGGCTGCAAAAGCAGGAAAAAAAACACTTTAGTGTTTATGCAATATAAAAAATTAAATGAAATAAATAAAAATAAGAAAAACAAATGGAAAATATGTATTCTTAGAGAGTAATACATATGACAAGCTTATATATAATAGTGCTGCATCAAAATATTAATCAATGTGATGGTAACGATGTTGTCATTTCCTGCATAACAGTAACCAAGCACAATGACTCTAGGGTGCACCATGAGTCAGCAGAGGAATCACACAGCATGTACCAGTAGCCATGCCAGTTATGTAACTGAAGTGAGGATATGTAACTATAGGTGTAAATGGTAAGCAAGACAGTCCTCTAGAGAAACGCACTATAAAAATACCTGGCACTCTAATTGCGTAAAGATCTCCTGTGTATTATAACAAGAGCACAGGTATAATATGTATACAGGGGTGTTCAAATAAAACTCTTTATACTGTATCTTAAAGTAATTTATAGGGTTTTTAGTATTATATTTAGGTCTAAAAAAATGTAATTAGAAATACTGCCAAATTATTTATATTTACAATTTGTAGCCAATAGTTGGAGCTCTGCGCTCTGTTACATGTGTTCACCAGGCTTCTTATATTGTAAAGCGCTGCACAAACTGTTGGTGCTATATAAATCCTGAATAATAATAATAATAATAATAATAATAATAATACTGTCTGTTCACAGATGAAAGACAATTGTTTTCAGAAACAAACAGCTGAAGCTCAGATTACACGCGTTGCTTGATAGGAACACTGTTATTTGCTTGAGAAAACCCACATATCAAGTGCTAATTGACTGACCTCTTTTATAGCCAGACATACAGTATACGACTTATCTACATTCGATCCAATATACCGGTAAGTCAGTTTTACTGCTCTCTTTGTAATTGTAAGGTAAAGTTAATGGGCACTAAACAAAATATTGTGTTGCGATAACAGGTCCTGGTAGACATTTTTGTGTGGTGCAGTTGTATCTACTTTTTATTATGTCTGGAAGTAAAAATGCAAAATGAAAAGCAATAACTTAAATAAATATGATACATGATTGATATATATATATAAAAATATTAGTTGGTTAGTTATGTGACAATGGAAAATTGCATATTACTGTTTTGTATTCTTATTTGAAGCTGCAGATGATCATTTCACATTTTCCAGGGTTTCCTAATCAGCTTTACTTATATAAGAATGAGATGATGTGTGGACCTATAGGGGTTGGACTTGATGGACGTATGTCTTTATTCAACCCCAAATACTATGTAACTATGTAAATCTATTTACAGAGCTTTTAAGCACGAGCTCAAATTTACACACTAGAGTAAATGATTCTCTCCCTCTTAGCCTCTTGAACCATTATCCATATCTACATTATCCAGATCAAATTTAAATCAGACAGAGAGAGTATGAAAGAAAACAGCTCCTGGCCAACTAACCTTACACCAACTAGGCAAAAAAGAGAACTAAAGACAAACGTTTGGGGCGGGGGGCCTATTTTTGGCAATACATTTACTAATGTAGTCCTTTGGCACAAACTCAGCACATAGCAGGCTACTGCCCC